TGTTCGCAAGGAAAGTATAATTTTATATTAAACTTATAGGACTATATGGATCTAAGTTTAAAAATGTTAACATCGATATCTTTTAATCCACTAATCCGACCGCTCGTTTGTGTACAGTTAACATAGAATATACCTGTGGATTGAAAGGAAATATTTTTATTTCATGTACTCCTCCCACTAGAGATATTGGTATTGATCAATACTAGACTCTTTTTAGTTTATCGGAAAAAATGGTATACATCAATCATATCATAGCCATCTTTTACATTCAAATCCATTTTACATAGCCTATACATAAGTAACAAATATAAAAACTAATTGAGTTGATTCCAAACTTTGAATATTACTTCTTTCACAGAATTATCTTTATTTCAATTATTAAATATTGTTTAGAAGGGAATAAAAATTATAAGAAAAAAATACTAAGCGAGACAACTTGTATTACATGTTGTAAAGTTTTCACAAGAACATATGATAAGTTATTTGTTGTTACTTTAAGAGGATGTGAAATTATATCTGGTTCTATTGAAAATGTCTGACAACTCTAATAAAAATCTGGTCACCTTGTCGCATTGCTGCAGTAAGTACTTTATTGGGAAATACAAAGGGAGATGGAAATTTGAATACAAACAAAGCTCAAACGGGTGTCGTGCGTTGAGAGATGTTCGCGGAAGCTAAAATAATATTTTGGAGCATCGCAGTGGCCCGGCTCGTGAACTCAGGAAATGAGGCTCTCTGTCCCGCCGGGAAATTGTTCCTCAGAATCATAACGCCGAGTAAATCTCCTCGCTTTGAAAGACTTTAAAAATGATGGCACAGATTTATCTTTATAAACGTATTACAAGAAATTTGTTGACACAAATCTCTACATTGAAGTTGCGAAATGAAATCCGTTTATTGCGGGTACGCTGCAAATGTTGTTTTTAAGAAAATTAATTTTCTTTATACGCGTACCGATGACCTACGCCCTGTCTGCTTTACTATAGAAGAATATAAAATTACAAAGGAATACATGAAAAAGTTATCCTTATTAGTAAAATTATTTATCTTTATTCAACTTTAACTTTAAAAACAGATTTGTATCTGGATCTAATTTACTCGTACACAGAAAATATTACTTAAATTAAAAAACACGACAAAATCAAACTTCAGCAATCTGCAGTAGGATCGGGCAATTTTTCTATTGCCACACCCCATCCGTAAAATAAAAAACAAATCTCATAAATCAGGTAGTTAGCAATCGCTTTCCGAACGGGAACCAATGATCACACCATTTCCCCGAAGGTCCGAACTGGGGTCGATATATCCGCTGAGCGCATCCGATGGAATTAATCTGGGAAGCGGTTTGTACACGCGATAAACATTTACATATTGTGTATCGAACACTCACAGGTATCGAGTCAGATCGGATTTGCTCCATTGCTTCAAAAGCAAGGATTTGGAAGATTTAGAGCACGAAGGACATGAAAAATTCATACTGTTTCGGATTTTTACTCTCAGACTAAGAGTTGACTTTCTGCTATTATAAACCTTGAGTATTTTTGTGTAGAAATACTATAAATAAGATAACCTAAATAAAAATAAGCAAAATTAAATTCAGATACACATTCGTAATAATATTATATGCAGAAACATTTAAGTTTAGACACTAAAAACAAATTAGTTTAGTTTGTAAAGTTAAGGATCCGAATTATAATTTCGAATAATTCAGGTATGAAAAAGTTACAGCACGCAACCGTAACTTGTGAAGTTGTTTTCAAGTTATGAAATACTGTTGTTTTGGGACAAAGTTTGTTTCAAAACAGAAAAAGGTCGTGGTAATTTAAAATAAGCGGCATCTATAAAGGAATCGAATCATTTAGATTTACTGTGTCTATTTATAGAGGATCCAATGAGCAAGGAAGTCACAAGATGACATGCGGCGGCAACACAAAGTAGCAATTGAGGCCAGCAAATAACAGGCGATTCTGACGTATCCTCAGACCACGCGTACATAAATAATACGTGATACGTGACAGACACCAGCACAGCATCCGACACTATTTATTGAATCACAAAAGCAAATAAAATCTTCCTAATAATCGTTGTGATTGAAATAGCTGACACCAACTCTGTAATATATCTATCTGTCACTCTTGACTGGGACTATCTTTACTTATTATCTACTAGCTGAACCCGCGGATTCGCTAGCGCTAAAACTACAAAAAAATCTCTAAAAAAGTAGCTTTCATACAAACTTTCACTCCCTATTTTACCCTCTTATAGCATGAATTTCGTAAAATGCTAAAACGCATATTTAATTAATTTTATTGAAGAGCATTAATACCAAGTTTCAAGGAATTCTGATTATAAATATTTTTTGGGCTATATTATAACGTGTATGCCCGTGGAAATTAGATAATCTCCTGCAGTAAAAAGTAGCCTATGTCACTCCCCAGACCTCCAACTATCTCCATACAAAAATTCACGCCAATCCATCACTCCGTTCGACGTGAAAGAAGGACAAACAAACACACAAACAAACACACTTTCACATTTATAATATTAGTATGGATATATATTCCTTTTTAAAGTTCAACGGGAACTACATTATTATAGAACAAACTGCTTACAATGACAAATAGAAACCAATCAGTTGCGCAAAAGACGGTATAGAACTCGTAAATTGAATTTCCAATTTATTACTGTGTGGCGTACTCAGACTGTTCTTTCTACGTGTAAGGGCATAGAAGAACGAGTGTGTTTACGGGACCAGATGGCCACCGATGAATGAAACGTTAACAGACCTGCACCCTGTTTTATACTTAAGAAAAATATGCTTAGCTTTAAGATAATATCGTGCATTAAATTATTGACAGCTGTTTTGATATTTGAATTTAAACCTATGGAATAAATCTACCAACGTATAGTGTATGATAATAGAATATATAAATAAATAGATATAATAAAATAAGTAGCAGTAGCACTCTTATAAGAGTATCTAATAATTAAACATAAACATATGACGATGATGATGTTGTTTGGCACATTTAATACTTATTTTTGTTCAAAAAAGCAATAAACTATTTTGTCTCTAATAGTACGTGAGAAATACGAGTATCAGTAAGACAGCTGTGACAATGTGCATGTTTGTACGGTGGGTTTTGTTAGATATGAAATCAATTTAAAATTGTACATTTTTCTCAGTCTCCCAACCACGTAGGACGGATAGCGATTTCGTTCAACAACCGGGATGCGCCCAATTCTCGCCAATAAACGCCCCTGACGTATTGTACCTTATAGGGCCACGCTATTAACACCTTTATCATCAACATCACAAAGAGCAAATTGGGATACAAACTACTGCATATTAAATATAGCATTTGGTTTTATCATTAGATCCGTGTGCATAATCATTTAGTGTCTAGCTTTTCGTTTACTTTTAACAACAGGATTAATAAGTGCTATATGAAACACATTTTGTTATTTACTTTTATATAGTCTACCGGAGACCTAGTCTAAGAATTAAAGTCAATTATTCAATCTCATTACTAACTTAAATTTTTACTTGTACGTCAGAACTTTAGAAACAGTTTTCTACTTTGATTGCCTAAAAATCCTTGTTAAATATTCTTATTTTACAGCAAGTATGAAGATTTATAATATATTTGTAATTAGTATTCTATGACGATCCAAAGTACTTACTGTGGATTGACAGCTTGTGTTATTGTCATTGCCGAATGAGACGCGGATGTGAAGCCGCTGCTTAGCTATATGGTGTGGTAACCGAATGGTTTCCACACAAGCGCTATAGCTAAGTGATGTAGCTATAAGGATTTATAAATTACGAGGATAAACCTTGGCCCTTGGCTTACTCTCGCTCTGCTCAGGGTACGCTTTTTTTCGAAGAGTCGATTTTTTTCAATATAATTCAAAAATATTATCGTACAATTACATTGTTTTTGCTAAATGTTAGTAAATAAAGGCCTATAACCTTCCTAGATAATCCCTCTGTCTATCGGTAAAAACCTTATGAAAATCCATACAGTAGTTTCTGAGATTACGACTAACAAACACAAATTCAACTTTAATTTTATAATATTTAGTGATTACATTTTGGTTATTTTCAGGAGAGAGTTCATTTAAGAAAATATTTTACATAAAAGATATCAATCTTTTATATTTACTGCCTGAAATAATTCTTATAAATAAGTAACACAATGAACACTCTTGGTACAGTAAAATTCTCTAACAATTCCGCAATACCAATATAAAAGGAGATAAAATAAAAACTATCGTGAAATGTTTTTTAACTCCGAGGGAAGTTTTACAAAGTTCAGTGGAAATAGTTATTTTGTAGTAAGGATTGTATTTTTATCATTTATCCCACAAAATGTTTGTACACAAAGTTATCTCCTCTATATTTAGTACATTAGTAGGTAGCTCTTAATGATTAATGCAAGACCTAACTTTTGACATCCATATCCATACTAATATACTTATATACTATATATATTATTTATTTCTTTTGATTTCTTAGAAATTTACCTGGAGGTGTTAATATTATAAATATGAAAGTGTGTTTGTTTGTTTATTTGTTTGTTTGTCCTTCTTTCATCGTCAATCATCAAAATAGAGTGACGGATTGGCATGATTTTTGTAAAGGTAGTTGGAGGTCCAATAGACTACTTTTTATTTTTATCTCATTCCCACGGGAAAACACGTTATACAACCCAAAAAAATATTTATGTTCAGAAATACAATTAAATAAATACGTATTTTAGCATTTTTCGAAATTAATCCCATAAGAGGGTAAAATAGGGAATGAAAGTTTGTATGAAACATACCTTTTTAGTTTTTTTGTAGCTTTAGCGCGAGCAAAGCGGGTTCTGCTAGTATATATGTAAATGAAAGTCACCAATTTAAATATTTTAAACTTTTTAATAAATAAAATTATTCATATCTTAGGCCGACATCTAATATTTTAATACTGCCTCTGATTCTAGTGGTCCGAGATCACAATGACGGCATCTGAGCGACGTGACCTCAGTCAGCCCTATGATTCACCGGCGCCGTACATTCCTCCCAACCGCATAGGTAATAGGAAATGCTACATCGCCATAAATTTGCAAACACCATAACTCATCCCGCAATATTCAACTTTGACCACATAACTTTCAAGTAATTGCATGCGCTTGAACAATTTTATAATTAAATTTTTTAAACGTTCAAAAAAAATAATTGACACTGCTGACTATGGCCGAGCATCCAGATTCAACATCTGTATGATACATATTATTGTACTCGTACATATTTATATTGATAAGGGATAAAAGCAGGTAAATATCGCAACGAAAATAACATTAAACTATACATATAAAATGTATCGTATAATATATGTCACTGGTATATTATCCATACTAATATCCATACTTAATATTATAAATGTGAAAGTGTGTTGGTTTGTTTGTTTGTTTGTTTGTTTGTCTGTCTTTCACTTCGAAGCAGAGTGACGGATTGGCGTGATTTTTTGTGTGGAAATAGTTGGAGGGCTGGAGAGTGACATACTTTTTACCGCGGTAGATTATCTAATTTCCACGGGAAAATACGTTATAGTACAACCCAAAAAATATTTATAATCAGAATTACTTGAAATTTGGTATTCATGCTCTTGAATAAAATTAAATGAATACATATTTTAGCATTTTCCGAAATTCAGCCTATAAGGGAGTTAAATAGGGGATGAAAGTGTGTATCAAACTACCTTTTTAGATTTTTTGTAGTTTTAGCGTGAACGAAGCCGCGGGTTCTGCTAGTAAAATATAAGTAATATCTGATCTATTTCTTCACAAATTCATATTTTTTATATGACCGTGTCGTGTGGTCGTTGTTAAGTGTAAACTGTCTATAGCTTCCATATAACGACGACCTCAATACCAGTAATAATACCTGCAGGTAATCTGATTACCGACGTACTTAGCAGGAAAGGCAATAGAGAAAAGAATTAAATATTTTTCCACTTATTTTCACTTTATTGGCTGTTCTAATAATTAACCTATTTTATAAAGGAATGTAAAATTATGAGAATACTGACACGATTATAAGAATGATGACGACACGTTTGGCTCAGTTTGTAATGACCCTACTTGCTATACAAGCGGTCGCGGGTTCGAGTCCAGCTGGGGGCATTCATTTGTGTGATGAGCACGAATGTTTGTACTCCAGCCATGGGTGTTTATATTTATAATAGGTATGTATTTAAAGTTATATATGTGTAGTGTATATCAACTATCTGGTATCCACAACATGATGATGATGAAACTGCCTCGGTGGTGTAGTGGCTAGCATGTACGGCTGCACACCCGGAGGTCCCGGGTTCGAGTCCCGGTTCGGGCCAAGTTTAGTTATTGAGTCTTCCTGTATAGTAAGTCTTAGTAACAGCCCGGAGTTGGGAAGTGGGCGGTGTTTCACCCCCGTGCCGTCGGTCCTGCGCCTTAACTCTCACTGGTCGTGTCGAGCAGTCGTCCCACCGGAGTATGAGAGTGATAGGAAAAGAGAGTGCACTTGTGTCTGCGCGTACACTTGAGCACTATAATATCTCCTGCGCAGTTGGCTAATCTCAATGAGATTGGCCGCCGTGGCCGGAATCGGCTAGGAGAACATCATCATCATCATCCACAACACAAGCCTCGTAGCTTACCGTGGAACTAGATGGTGTTCCGTGCTGTGTATTATTGTCCCAACATATTTATTTATTTATTTAATATTATAAATATAAGTTAATTATTTTAATTGCTATCGATTTCAACCATCCCAGTTGTGTAATCGATGAATATTTGAATGTTACTTTAATAAGAAGTTGACCTCTTGCTAAGCCAAAAAAATAATATTGAATTGAATGTAACGCGATCTAACAATTCTTTAAAAGAGGTTTTTAAATTTCAATAAAATTATTTTATTTATATCATTTTTTAAGCAGTGGTAGCCCATTGGTAACGCGCTCGCTCGCTCGCGCGTAACCGAGACAGATGGGTTCAAATCCCGGGTCTCGCACCTCGGATATTTTCATGTGCGAGTCATTTCTAACATGATTACTACTTACTTGCCTTACTGCGTAGAAAAACATCATGACGAAACCTACATGTCTAAGAGAAGTTTTCGAAAGACATGTGAAGACCGCCAACCCGCACTTGGCCAGCGTGGTGGACTATGGCATGTTCCCCCTCGTATTGAAGGGATGCCCGTGCCTAGCAATGGGACATTAGAAAGAGCTGAATACATATCATTTTTTATTATTACAAGGCTTTTTATTTGACAAATATATCTTTATTTTATATGTAATTATTATAATATTTTACAGAGTGTACCAAGAAAGAGATCAAACAAAAGAACTCTATAAACAAACCATAGAACATACCCGCAGAGAGATTTATAAAGAAATAAATAAGTACAATCGCGTTCGAAAATTATCATTACAAATGGGTCTTGCAACGACAAGAATTTATCTGCTGACATTTTAATTTACGTCGAGCGGCGAAGTTCTTAATTAGTGGAGTTTTGTAGGGGTGCGCTACGTGCGGTTCGGGCGGGACCACACGCGAGCGCCGACCGGTGACACTTTGCAGTTTTATAGAAACAGTGCTTTTTTTTAGCCTATACTATTCAATTGAAATGTTTTATTGTATTCGTATTGTGTTCTTAATTTGCCGACACTATAGTCAACCTATATGTTAACGCTTTGTTTTAACGAAAAAGGTAATGAAGTCGGAGTAATAGCTATGGTAGTAAGTTCTAACAATGCCAATACGTTTGGTAGAGGGCTACAAGTAAGAAAATTGGTTTTTATTGCCTCTGCCCAAGGGTTAATTCTACTCTACCCATTACTAAGCCGAAGTATATTGGTTTGACAGTGAAATTATCAATTATTTTAGTGATCACCGACTTGTATTCGTATTCAGCCCTTTTTAACGTCCCACTGCTGGGCATGGGCCTTTCTTCAGTATGAGGGGAATCAGGCCATAGTCTATAACGTCCTACTGCTGGGCACGCGCCTCCCTTCAGTATGAGGGGAATCAGGCCATAGTGCACCACGCTGGCCAAGTGCATGTTGGCGGTCTTCACATGTCTTTGAAAACTTGCTAGATTCTCTCAGACATGCAGGTTTCCTTACGATATTTTCCTTCACTGTTAAGACAAGTGGTAATCATGATGGAAATGATTCGCACATGAAAATATCAGAGGTGCGAGACCCGGGATTTGAACTCAATTCACTCGGTTTCCCAAGCGACCATGTTACCACTGGGCAATCACCGACTTGTCTAATTTAAATTCTCTTATGTCATCTAAAATTATTATTTTAAAGACTAAGCTCTTTTGCACGAACCCCATGAACGATTTTTACAAGATTAATTACTTGCACCATATACTGTTTACTCTATTTAGTTCTTATATAGATTTCTACCGTCTTTCCTTAGTGAAAGATAAATTGAGAATTTAAAAAACAATACAGTTACAAAATAATAAGACTAATTATTCTGTTAACATAAAAATAAAAACGGATAGAGTAGTTAGTAGAAAGTTAGTTAACGCTTCAGTTTTTTTTACCCGTTACACGGGTAAAGAACGTTCAGTTTAAATTCACAGAATTTAGATATCTTTTTCATACTGCTGTTATATTTCGGAAGATGTGTTATATAATTGCAGATAATTAAATATTTTTCGAGAATATAGCTTGCTTTAGTTAGTATTTAGTGTAATAGAAAGGCTATAGCTTTCGTAATGGCAGAAGATAAAAGAGACATTTCAAGTCGTTTTTAGGGTTCCGTAGTCAATATGGAACCCTTATAGCTGCACCTTGTCCGTCCATCTGTCTGTCCGGAGTTTAGCTCAGAGACTCTTAGTACCACAAAGCTGTAATTTGGCATGATATACATAAGTCACGCCGACAAAGTGGTAAAATAAAATCATGAAATTTTTTTTAGCGTAGGCACTTTTCCTTTTTTTCATACTTCTTCTACATGTAAAGTGAGGATGATTTTTTTTCTCGTCTTCCCCAGGATATGGTCTTTCAAAAATATTGCGGTTTTGTGAGAACAATTTTTCGATTAAGGGATCCGTTTGTAAAATGTTAAGCTTTAAAGTGCTAATTTTTGTTATAGTCAAGTGTCATGCCAGCTAAATGATTGTTTTTGTATATGTGAAAAAAAAGACAGTAGTGGTATATTTAACGCAGTCAAAAGATAAACTATCCCAGCTAAGTAAGCTTTGCAAGTTTACGAGTAATAGTCGAGTGACTTATAAATTGTACTTGGAGTAATAAGTAAACATTTCGTACAAATTCCATTGAAAATTACTTAATAACCTTGTGTAAAACAGATAGTAGGTAAATATAATTTTATAAAACATGTAAAAATTTAGAAAAATAAAATCATAAGATCCTTACACAAAGCCCTCTTCTTAGTCCGCATTGTTGTGATGGGCAACTACGGAACCCTACATAGCGCGAGGCCCGACACGCACTTGGTTAATTTTTTACTTAACAAAAAGTTTTATCTGTATTGAAGTCTAAAAGGCTTCACTAACTTAAGTAATATGATATTGATATGATACTATGTTAGAGAAATATTATGAATTTATCGATTTAAGCTTGATATTATTGATTAAGTGTGCATAAATCGTTCTCCAAATATGTAAGTATAATCGATTGCTTAGCTAATATTTACACTATAAGATCGAGTGTCTGTGGAAGTACATGTAGTAAGTGCATATGCTGTATGTAAATGTGTAGGTACAGATGACAAAAAATATTCATAAATGTGATGACGATTCTCTCTTGAAATAAAACAGAATGAAAAGTTTTATTATACCTACCTTTATGTCTATCGTAATGGGAATTTCAGCTATGACTCATATCAATATTATCGCTAGGAATTATAACAAGTACATACATATATACATATTCAATGTTTAACAATGATTCATAGTTGCGTATAAACTTCTTTGATATTTTTATGTTGGCAGTAGTATCGTTATATTTTTTATTTCGGATACAACGACAAAACTGATGCAAATAAAAAACTATCTTGTTGAATTGCATTACACAAAAATAAGCTCGGTAAAACTTTGATCACATTCAATTCTGTAACAACTCTTGTTAAAACGAGAGCTTAAAAATCCAAATCTCTGATGTCTGCTTTAATTAACATTCGTGTTTTAGGTTTAAAAAGAGTCGAAAATTCGAACCTCTAATTACATATTACTGCCTAGGTACGTAAAAGTATGAGGGGTATATTTCAATAACATTAAATACGTATGTCGGTATGTATTAATTCTCCATAGCTCGTATAGATCCCCAAATATGAGTTGATCAAATCGTTTCTCACATGTGTGAGTGAGCACCTAAAACCGTTTACGTTTAGTACATCGGTTGCTCTAAGCTAGTCCCTGATTGGCTCTCGTGTCAGGATAATACGGGCGGCAGCCGACGTTATGAACCCTCTGATTTAATTGAAAATTCCACGATCGACGTCCACTGTACCCTGACACCATCATTGCATTGTCTATGCTTCGGTAGGAGCTCACATCTATCAATACTTATAATCATAGTTAAACTTTGCGTTCAAAGGTAAATATACGTCAATAATAATTTATTACTTGAATTTAGTTATTATTGAAGATAATACTGTGTTTTGCCTCTATATAAGACAAAGTTTTCGATATTATGAAAGTGAAAAATAAGACCGATAGTCATTTTCTTTCATCTTCATCATTTCATTATACAAGTAAGTTATTAATTATATTAAAAATATTATTTAAATCTGATTTAATATATGTTTACTGTATTAGAATATACTCACAAAAGATGCATGTGTTGATCTTGAAAAACGAGACCAAATACATACCTGAAACAAAAAAATATAAAATTGAAATTAGACTGCCTTCTGTCAAATAAATTGTATACTCAACTTATTATAAACTATTCACTATTCACACTATTCACAATTCCTGTATCTCATAAATAGTTTTAAAATTGTATTTTATTAAGTAAAACATATAAAAAGGCACGAAATATCTTAAATGTGCAGTTTAGTTGTGTAATTAAAGCGAATTCTGTAGGATAGGTCTAATAAGAACAATTATCGGTAGCGCGTATTATAGTCTATCGCCCTTCTACCCGAGGTGCAGCAGGTCGTCTTACAAAAGTCTACTAAAGCCTTTTGAAATTGGATAGGTAAGGTACAAGTTAAGACTTTTCAAATGAATTTTCATAATACAAATAGGTACTCGCGTATTATATTAAATGAATTTTCATAAGCGCTTTTTTACATAAAATATTTTTAAAATCTATATAAGTAATTCTAAGTCATTTGATCGATGGCTTGAAACTTTGGTATTAAAATATTTGAAATTTTTCAAATTTAATTTAAATTTCAATTCAAAGTATTTTAAATTTATTAATACCCATTCTCATATTTAGTGGAAGCCAGCGCAGAAATCATATATAGGAATATATATATATATATATATATATATATATATATATATATATATATATAACTTGTATTGCCCGCGGCTCCTACTACT